CACGTTACTCTCACAAATAAATGACGTAACGATCAATACCTGCTCAAAAGAGCAGATAACTCTGCAATACATAAAGACGGAATACTGGGGGCAATCTGCTAATTTTATTTACTAAACATGATATTTTCAGGTGTGCAGGCAATATGACGGAGCGGGCAATTCACAAGAAATTACGGTACATAGAAAACATATTGTAATGTCGACATAGAAGTAATATTTGAAAGAAATACAGCGTATTGTCAACATACAGTTTATTTGTAAAACATACCGTAATGTTAACATAAATGAATGTATAGACAGTTTATCGTAATGTCAATATACAAGTTCCATTAAGAAAACATACTGTATCGATAGCATACAAGTTATATGTAAAAAATATACCATGATGTCAACAAAAATGTATACAATGTACATTTAAAATATACCATAATGCTAACATACAAGTATTCGGTAAAAACATAGCGTTATATCAACATACAAGTAACATACAGAAAAATCATAAAAGTAGTAATATATAAAAGATATACCTAAATGTCAACACTTATACGTTTCATAAATAATGTATCAAAACGCCAACAATAGAAAAACAAGCCGTGATGTCAACGTACATCTTACATTATAACACATATCCCCCTTGCTGTTGTTGTTAATCTTAAATTACACCCAACCCCGTAATGTTGTGGATGCAAATTTTCTCGTGAAGTCATTTCCACGCAATTAAAAAACAGAGATTTACTGTGATGCTGCTATGTTAAAAACACATTCTCCTTCGCTATGTAGTTGGTCTTAAATAACACCCACCCCGTAATGTTGTGAATGTAAAATTTTGATGTTGTGGAGGGTAGAAACACATTATCCGAGTGATGTTGTTGATTAACATGCCCATGGTGTTGCTGACGTTATCATTGAATATTACACAAACAGTGTCACACGATCACTTTGCATAAGAGTGGGTTCAACATTGATTCCTGAAATATCAAGTTCTGTTTAGTGAAAACTTTATATCTTTATACTTAAACATCGACTTTCGCGACCTGTTTTTGTAAAATTAATTTTGTTTCGATAAAAAGTATTAATCAGTTTAAGAAATATGTACAAATTCATGATTAACTGCTAACAAAATTATTGTTGTGGATGCTAGATTTGCATGCTTTAAATACACTTAATATATACTTGTATGTTTTCATATAAACTTGTATGTTATCAAATACACTTGTACGTTTTCATATACACTTGCATGTTATCATATTTTCATATGAACTTTGTATGTTACATATACACTTGTATTTTATCATATAAACTTTTATGTTATATTAACTTGTATGTTTTCATATACATTTGTATGTTTTCTTTAGCATTTGTATGTTGTCACTTCACATTTGTAGGTCATAACCTAAACTTGTATGCTATACTTATACACTTGTATGCTTACCTGTATCAAGAAAAATAGATAAATTTTAATTCTAGATACGATACGAATTCTAATAGAAACGAAGACTATTTACTGTAATGTAATTATGTCAACAAAAAATGCAAGACTATCGGATTATCTCCCTTTATTCTTGTTATTGTTACAGTATACCAGGAAAAAACCATACAAAATGCTGGGAAGTGTCATTTTAGTATATACATGTTCACAATATTTCATATATCATTTGACCAAAATGCCTGATAAATTAGATTTTTGTTTTGCTGAATTTTGGAGTTAATCCGATAGTAAAGCTTCAAATCAGGTATATATCAGGTACTATTGAATACTTATGAATAATCACTGATAAAACAACTGAATATAAATAATGGTATCATATTCTTTTAACTACAGTGACATCGACTTGTTATTTTTCTAAGATAAGTATATTATCGACATTGAGAAAGTTTGATACACGCAAGAAACAATACAGTAACAATCAATCAATTGTAGATAATGATCCTGGAAATACGGTTTCAAAAGTAAGATATGGAATATTGATTGCTGTCATTCGGAAGTCATTTATCTGAGTGGCTAAATGAAGCGAAATAGAATTGTGTTAGATCCGTGAAAAAGTATAATATGCTAGCCATTCAAGACTAGGAAATATATTTAAAACCCTAAAAGACGAGTAAATACGTGCTCACCCTGACAGACAAGTAAATATAAGCTATTCATGTTAGGCTACTTCATATATGCTTACCTCGATAGATTAGTAAATATATGCTAGCCTTATTAGACAAATAGATAGATGCTTGCCTTTTGTCAGGCTATTGAATATAGCAAATAAATGTTAACCTTTTTGAACAAGTAAATAGATGCTAACTTTTTGTTAGGCTAGTAATATATGCTAATCTTGTTAGACAAGCGCATAGATGCTAACCTTGTTGAACAAGTAAATAGATGCTAACTTTTTGTTAGGCTAGAAATATATGCTAATCTTGTTAGACAAGCGCATACATGTTAACCTTGTTGAACAAGTAAATATATGCTAACCTTTTGTTAGGCTAGTAATATATGCTAATCTTATTAGACAAGCAAATAAATGCTGACCTTGTTAGGATAGTAAATAGATGCTAAATCTGATGTTTGTGTATATTGTTGACATGTAAACAATAACTTAAGATGCAATATCGTGGATGGTTACCAGCGTCGCTATGTAGCTACACTCTACAGTATATATAAACTTCTCTAAAACCAACACTTATTAAATCGAAAATCAATTTTGAATTTCAGAAACTCTCGCTATATCGAACCTCAATATTGAATAAGCTAACCTTTAGTTATATCGAACATCTATTTTGAATTAGGTAAACGCTTGCTTTCTCGAACATCTATTTCGAACGCGTAAACCCTCGTTAAATCGAACATCTATTTTGAATTAGATAAACTCTTGCATTCTCGAGCATCTATTTCGAAAGCTTAAACCCTCGTTAAATCGAACATCTATTTTGAATAAGGTAAACACTCTTTGCTTAACTTTGATCATAGTTATAACTTACATCTATTTCGAGTTGGGTAACTCTCGTTATATCGAAAATCTATTTCGAACGGGGAAATCCATCGTGATATCGGACATATCTGTAATATATACGAGGTATGTATACATTTGTGTTCGAGATTTTCATGTATGTATTTAAATTATTTATGAGTTTGCATTGAAAATAAATTTCAGTTTAAATTAATGAATGAAATATAACGCGGTCGATTTTAGTCTGATTTAATGATACATTCACCTTTAAAAGCCATTGCTGTTACAGCCCGTTTCTCTCTAAAGCTTCCAATGACAGCAATCAATATTACCACGTGGAGCTCCATGGATCCTGAAGTATGTGGTATTGGGAATCCTATCACAGAAATGGTCAACGTACAATGTTGTGTTTAACATACATCCTTTTAGACAGTGTTTTATTCACAAAACCTAATTAATTCAATCAAATATCACACACGATATACGTTGGTGCAAATACATAAAACACGGCCATCGTGTATGCTATTCTCTTCGTGTTTTTACTATCTAGTGGACAAACATTAATTCATCACTGTATAATGTTTTGATATATATATATATATATAGTATATAATATGTGATATCTATTTACCACTAACTCACTTTTGGAATTTTAATGAAACATATGTTATACAGTTTAAACATGAACTGTTGAACTAGTTGCTCAAACTCAAATATACGTTTGAGCTTTGACCAGCTGTGCAATTCGGATAAATGCCATACGTTAAAAGTCATATGCTATTTACGTCTTTGAACAAAATAATATATTTCATATTTGACTATATATAGAATAGAAAATTCGAAACAAAAATTTAGTAATCTATTTTATAATTGAAACGTTTATTCAACTCTGAACAACCCAAGCGAGACGTTTCATGGTAGCGGTGCAATAGAATGATCACTGGCGTTTAGGTGATGTTACAACGGAGTCGATCGATCCTACATTTAGTTTATGCATATGTAACACGTCTGGATACAACAATGAAACTTTAAGAGGCAAGAAGTTGTGTCCCACCACACCAATACTAAAAGGTCAAGAGCATACTAAATTGACACGACTTCGGTGGAAACCAAGTAGACTGTTACTGCAGTCGATACTATAACTACCAACAGATTGAGATTGTGTTTACATTGCTGTTACATGTGTCACCATTGCATGTGACCATTACATGTGGAAGATGCAATTATCGAAACGAAGAGAACACAATGTGTCTCTCTCATATCACAGGGATAACGACGCTAAGGTGCTACTAATGGTAACACCTCCAGTTCTCGAAATCAGAAGATGCCCAAGAAAACAACGCTCACGTACGACTGCAGTTAGCCTACTCCAACTTGAACTCATTCATGAACCAATATTTTTGACAACTGTTTCTATATATATATATATATATATATAGAAAAAATAAAATTAACGACCGACTAAAAAACTAGCTGCTTTCACCCTTCACAGGGCTCTTCAGGGTTATTCAAAAGAGAACAACGTCGTGACGTCACAATTACATGTCATCACACTACAATAGTAACGTGACGTCACGAAGTACACAAGATTGGTGGACAATTTGGCGTAAAATTTTATTGTGGCCTGTTGAGACTCGGTTTTAATATTTTTATTAGTTGGTCTTCTTTCGTTTCTCTTAAAATAGTGTCTGATGAAAATAGTTGATACAAAGGTAATACATTAAATTTATCTCCAGCACATTCATGCTGGAGATAAATTTAATGTATTACCTTATCAACTATTTTCATCAGACACTATTTTAAGAGAAACGAAAGAAGACCAACTAATAAAAATATTAAAACCGAGTCTCAACAGGCCACAATAAAATTTTACGCCAAATTGTCCACCAATCTTGTGTACTTCGTGACGTCACGTTACTATTGTAGTGTGATGACATGTAATTGTGACGTCACGACGTTGTTCTCTTTTGAATAAACCTGAAGAGCCCTGTGAAGGGTGAAAGCAGCTAGTTTTTTAGTCGGTCGTTAATTTTATTTTTTCTATATATATATATATATATATATATATATAAGTATTGAGCACAATGACGTCACTGGCACTTTGACGTCATAAGTAATATATCTGTATCTATATCTTGTTTTTAACAAGTATTCCTACTATCTTTTTAACGTCGTGTAGCACTTGTTTGCATTTTCAAACCTCATACCATTTGGTAATGACTGTTTTGTTTTACAGAATCACGCCTGTTCGCATTAATTATACTTATGGAAGCCATATATTTTTATATCCCATGTATATGTCATTCATAATCAGCAGGGTCTCGGTATCGTATACCTGAAAATAAATAAAACGTTGTCGTGTTAAAGGAAGCAAGGTAGGGAAAATAAGTTGTATACATATCACAGTTATAATGAGAATCTTAACTAATACCAATATTTGTCTGGAAGTCAGTAAACTGTTGAAAAGCAGATTTTTTTTTTATATTTTTTTATTTACAAATAGTTTATCAAGTTATCGTCCAGAAATAAGTAAATTTTGATTCGGACTTCAAACGATCATAATATGTTTTCCTTATCTACCCAACAAAATGATTTTATATTGAATACCTGTTTCGTCTCATCCACTAGCCTCCGGAGAGGTGTATGGGTTAGAGGTCCCGTCCGAGGATTGTCGAGTGTTTGCGTTGTTCATTAAAGAGTCTATCTGGATACCTTTCTGTTCGTCCTTGTCCGACTCGTCGTCTTTACTGTAATCATGATTGAAGTGATCACTTCCGCTTTTCATATCTGACAAATCTGAATTCTGAAGTGGCGATAACCTCAGCAGATTAGGAGACGAAAGACTAGCGTCTGATTGTGATCGACCAATGGAATTCGAACTCAACAAACTTTCGTCGATATCGAAGTTATCAGATGGGCTGGTATCGTTTTGCCATGGAACATTTTGACATTGGCTATGCTTCCAAATATTCATTTTATTAGGGTTACCTACACTATCACTTAAATCAAAGTCGTCTTCAATTCGACCGTGCGTGTCTGCAAAACTAAAATCTTCAACATTGTCTTGTGGTGAGTATACTGGTGAATGTACTTGCGGGAGCACACATTCTGATGACGTATACACACGATTTGGAGGTAGATTGCCGTCACTATAGACGCCCCGCGACATGACGCCTGTATCACGTGTGTTCGGAATGTATCCCTGATACACATCATGTCTTAGACAGGAAATATCATCAAACGCATGCCTCCCACTTGTAGTGAGTTCCTGGTCCCGTGCATGGGACGATAGGAGATTTTCTGTATCTTCTGCACCGGTTATATCTTTTTTCAAAATTGATTTTTTCTTTGAAGGAGGAGGACCTAAAAGAGATGGGCTTGAGTGGGCGGTGACCTTTCGCATTCCGCATGGAGACATGCCTGGTGAGCCAAATCTCTCTGTGGAAAGATGTACCAAATAAGTCAACATGATGCACTAGTAAATAGGTAACACAGACAAAGGGTACGTAGTAACCTAAATGTTGTTAAGGTGTATGTAATATTGAAGTCAAATGACCAGTCTTTTATCTGGTGGAGTCGACAAGTACGATATCAATACATATACCTGAACCAGTCTAAAAAGTATAGGTACTTTCTTCACCTGCATCGCAACATATGATGGCAAGTATTTCATTCCGTTGGATTTACAGCAACACTTTCGTAACAACAGAAAACCGTTAAATTGAAAATGTTTTCTTTTTAATTTTCACCATTTTCTGCTCCAAAGAATGGTATGTACAATTCAGTATGTTTTAATCTGGTTCTCGATATATCATAAAAGTAACCGCTTCCTGGTCGAAATCTGTTAAAAGACTTGCCATCAGGCGACTACAAATCTCGCTTAAATGAAAGTTATCTCTCCTGATATTTTCATGTTCAAATCCTAGCCCTCGCTTGTCGGGTCTGTCCTTTACCATGAACATAAGATATTGTGTTCAATTAACGATAACTAAACATCACTTAAGCAACAAGCTGTACTATACAAATGTGGTTTTCACGATACCAAATCGGAACCTAAAACACGTCAACAACAGAAGAATAGTTACAACGCTGGGGCAAAATGAACAAAAGAAGGCAACTTCAGGGATAGTGCAACAATGGTGTGACCAGAATGGTAAGCGGAAGTAGAAGAGAGTGCCGGGAAGCGTCACGTGATGCTAAGCTTCCTTCATGCTTGTCTTATCTGATAATGGAAGGTTGGCTTAAGCAATGATAATCATGTAGTTGCTGCTTATATCAATCAGATTTCAGACAATTTAACATTACAGGAATCTGATTGATTTATTGATTGATTAGAAAAAATATATTCTTGAACAGAAGCTTCGGACATTGGCATTAGCAGGGGATTAACTAAAGCAAAAGGGCACATAGCTTACTCATCTAGTGATAACGGCAACTCACTGACGATGATGGACGAAAATGTTACAATTTACCTTCATCAATAATCATCATAAATCAAATTAGTGCAGTATTATAATTAAAATAAAGGAACAAATATAATAATTAATGATAAATAATGGAAAATAAAACTGATATATTTCAAATAATCATTATTGTCGGAATATAAGAAACATTCTGAAAGTTTACTAATGATTAATATAGATGGTTTTTTTTGCATGTCTATAAAATGCAAGAGGCCTGCGAACGACACACTGTGTATACAAGTATTGAGATTTATACGTTCCTTTTGCATTTGAAAATCGATAGAAAATAGAGATGTTATTGCTAGAAGCATTCCTTCATTCTAAATTATATCACTTATCTATATAAAAAAACAACTTAACTTATTTCATAACGTTAACATACTTTTTTTTCTTTTATCCAAGTTATCAAAAAATAAAAGCCAGGAATTTCATTAACTAAAGTAGCCAATAGCATGCCTTATTGTTATGTTGCTGATGATAAGATAAAATAGGTGGATATAGCATTGACAAATTCCAATCAATGACATCGGGGCTTTTGCTGTATCAAACAAGAGCGCAGAGGAGACTACAAATGCGTAGGTCAAAGGTCAAAGTTCTGAGGTCACACCAATGTTATACTAAACCTGAACTCTGCCAGCTTAACGCTCGTTTCCGCATTCAGTTGAGAAGAAATTTTTCATCTGGAAAATTGTCAATATAGTAAATATTCAAAAGAGTTTTCACAATTGTCAATAAGAACGGATTGGATATGCAGATGTCATACATAATAAGTTCAGTAGATTGATTTGAAAGAATAAGTGATTTTTTGTGTCAATTAAATCCGACAAGTTGACATAAATCACACGAACATTTTACCAATACATAACGAAAATGTATCACATAATTCGCCCCCTACATTAAAAATAAGAAATGTGTAACAATACAATAGATAAACAATAAAAAAATATACACACGTTATATAATTATCTCCCCTACAGTACATACAATAAATGTATAACACAGTTATCTCCTCTACATCGTTTACATTACAAAATAAATTACACAGTGTTACCCCTAACGTTACAAAAGATGCACCTATTAAGATCACATATACCATAACTATTGAGGATTTATCCTAAAATTTCATTACTTTATTTTGTACACCATCTAAATGTGGGTTTTCATTATAATCGTATGAATAGCATATGGTTTCAGGTCGGTCGAAGAAATTTTCTTCAACACCGACATACAAATTGGGTGGTAATTTTTTTTTTTTTTTATATTATGCATATTTTTCTTTCTTGTTCATGTAAATGTGTTGATAAAGGGGAGGATTAAGACGGATTGCTTCCAAAATTTGACAAATTGTATACATATGTATATACATTTACAGTATATTCACCCAACTAACATCTGATTTGCCGGATATTGGGTCATATTGTCATAATGACTTATACGCAATACAATAGTTTATATCGTGTATATGTTATCATTATCAAAATTGATGAAGAAACGTATCGTAATTGATTAATATCTATCTACAATAATACAATAATATGTATATATATATATAAAAGACGGCCAAGCATCATTAATACAAGTTCTATCGAGGAGATAATTTAAGACCTATCATATGTATCCTCAGTATAAACGAATTAACACACTCCTCGAGTTTATCTACGATCATATTATCATGTAATGCATGTTAGACCATCCTTAATGAGTTTGAAAGTTTATTTGATTGTCTTTATTGAAGTATATTTACCAACATATTACACATTGAACTAAATGAGACAATTTAGAGAAGAAGCGTACGGTAACAACAATTGTTTGAGGAAGTAATACATTTGTTGTAACTCCGGTTTCAATTATTTCATTGATAAAATATTATTACAAAAACAACCCACAACCGTCACTACAAAGAAGATCCCGTACGAAATGCCAAAAGTAAAGCTTCATGCAGTACATGTTATGCAAACAATGTTTTCTATAAAGATTTAAATAATTAACCTGCACAAAGAAAAACGAAGAATTAATTGTAGGAGCTAATGTCAATCAGCAAACCAGGCAACCTTCACCCATAGAAACAAACCATACAGTGCGTTAGTCTAGGGACACTCCACGATGCAAATAAAACACATTAAAGTGTAAGGAGAGAGGCTTTATCTGTGGTACACACAGTACTGAAATGGAAACGTTTGAACGCAGAATGGCTTTTCAGAGCAGCACGTGAGGTACACTGTTGTTCTAGAGGTAAGTACTATCCTTAAAATAAGCAAATACTGGACGTCTCTGAATATTCGTCTCGCGTATGAAATATTTTTTGAAATTTTCTTGATTTTAGTGCATCACGAATTTACGGACATTATTTAAGTATCCGTTTTTGAGTATGTATATCTATTAAGTATACTATTTTAGAGGATATATAGTTATGTTAGTTTTATCTATTATATACCGTTGCTTTCCATAAATCGAACAACAAAAACTTATCCAAACATTTCTACTTTGGATACGAATAAAGAATTATACTGGCAGCGCTTAACACATTTTTACGAATTGAAATACATTCTTCGAGAAAATAAATCGTTTGTAAAACAGTACATTTTATTCGAAGTGTTCACATTCTAAGACCTAGAGGAAAGTCATTGATGTTTTTGCGAATGAAGACATTATTGCCGATGCTTTTTTAAAATACAGCCTATTTGTCTGAGGTTATACCTGATTGCGGGTTTGCGATGAGATGGTAGTTGGCTAGTTTCCGTCCGGTAGATGGGCTGGAATGTAGTCTGGTCGCCAAGGAAACTGCTTTTCGGAATTTTGCACTTTTTGACTTTGTAGAACCATCCACATGTAGATTATCAAAAGACATGTACGACCTTTCTTTGATATCACTAAACTGTGGATGTCGCTCACTTGATTCGGATTTGTGTCTCTTTAGGCTGGCTCGATGTTGCCGTTGTGGTTCAATGTTCCTGCGCATGGCGAATCCGCAACCATCATCCACCTCCGGCTGTAAGACATGTTGGGGAGAATTGACTCTTTGCCAAGTGGTAGTAAATCTCCCATCTAATTTTTGAATGATTTGATCAGAAGGTTTATCGTTTAAGACTTTATCTGATAGAAAGGAAGAATCATCAGGGGTGGATAACCCTGTCAGATCATTCATATCCGAAGAATTACAACATGCACAGACTTCCGGCGAGGACTTCAGCGGATTGATGTGAAGGTTGGAGTAGACCGGAACCGGAACTGCCCTACCGCATGGACTCATGGGAGGATGGGTCATGCAACTATTATAAGTGTCTGTGCTTGTATTGCTGCTCTGTCGAACAAGCGTTTTCATCTCTATTGTGCACCGGGCACGTGCGGAAGTACATTCAGCGGTGGGTGGATATTCAAGTTTGCCCTGAAGCAGGGAAAGCAGAGATTAGTCGATAAATAGTAACAAGAGTCAATCTTTAACCAGTTCTTGATGTAAGTGTTTTTTCCCCAAAAGAAATAAACGCCTATCTAAAAGTTCCCCTCAGTCATCAATTGACACTGTTCTATAGGCGGGTAATTTGAAAACATTCATTCACGGTAATTTACTTATAATACTAGAAAAACGAGTTATTTGTAAAAGCATTATTCAACCACATTTCTATTGAATACTTAATTTTGTAAATGAATGTAAAAAATATCAGTCAATCTGTATGTACAGGGGAATTGTTATTGGAACTGAGATATAATTATGTAAAACAGGAAAGTACGATATTCTTTTTACTTCAACAAAAAAACCTTCATTCGTATTTATCGTGAGGACGGATGATGGCAAAATCCAGAAATTTCCACTTTTAGAAAATAACAATAGTTTACTGAACATTCGACTTAAGGGATACATGACGAAAGACAAAACTACTTCCGGTATGCTTCGGATATGACGTAAAGGGAAAACATCAAGCGCTGGTTAAACAATGATCAGATGCCACCTTAGCTGCGTGGAAGCAAACATTCAAACAGTTTGAGCATGCCCTGTCTGAAAACAAGTGCCGAAAACTAAATACATTTGCTAAAATACGTAATATAAAATTAACCTAAGGCTACTTAATCTGAAGAATGAACCTATATACAACACCAAGTCAAATTTCGCCTGGCAGTTTTGAAAATTATTTTCTTGAATGAAGTTGATAATAATGTATACAAATTTATCAAAGAAAAAATAATTAATATGATAAGGTGTAAAGAATTGTGTAAGTACGGTTGTATGATTTTTTATAACATTTTCGTTAAGAGAAAATCTAATGTAAATTTAAAAAAAATACCCTTGAAATTAAAAAAACAATTTTAATTTGAATACAATGAATGTTGCTTCAGTTCCTCTTTCTAAAATTGATGTGACGAAAAAACCTGACGGTTGCAAAGTTGCAAGACCGAGTCGTTCTTTAAACGTTGTGACACGTTTAATAGTATGTTTTTGTAAATAAATCAAAATTGTGAGATAATATATCTACATATAGCTGTCTCGAAAAGAAACTCTCTTACCTGGATAGACCGTTTAAAATCGAATTCCATATTCATCACATTTACATATTTGTATGTAAATGCTTGTTTGCAGAATTCAAACGTGTTAACTTGGATTGAATATTTACACAAAAGGCAGATATTTAGCTTTGTTTACACCATCTGTTATAATTACGTATTATATAATACCGCTTTGACTGGATGTTGCGGTATCTGTGCTGTAGCATTCAAGTGAGGTGGCACTATAAAAGATGCCGTTGGAAGCACGGTCCCACTACAAAACAGAACTCAATACATCTCCAGCACACACGCAGGCATACACACATAGGGATATATTAACCAGGTGGCATAGGACTAGTAGTTAGCGCCTGATAAGGCAGCTCCTGCGAATTCCTCAAATTGTATTGATTAATGTATATGCTAATTGTATTAATGGTATATCTTTGTACTGTAAAGCGCTTTAGAGTGGCGTATGTTTGCTAGATAGGGCGCTATATCAAATGCTGTATATTATTATTATTATTATTAAAAACAATGAGACGATACTTCGCATTTATACTGAATAGGCTGTCTAGTTAATAGATGAGAATATTTAGGAAACAAATGTAAAATCAAATCAAATCAAAGTGAATTAAAATGTATCGTTGATGAAGCGACATTCCAACTGGAGACTTACTACGCATCTATAAAATAGGTAAATAAACTAACCACTTGACTACAAATCACAAACATAGCAAAAACAGATATATACATATATGTATAATCATTTATATCGTTTGAAATACTGGCTTCGCTTTTGAAAATTTCAGTACTGGATGTTGTTGTTTTATCAATTAAAGGATTACACGATCGGAGGATTAGTATTTTCATTTTTTTCCATCCACAGATTAAGATAAAATTACAAAGTTGCTCATCGGAAATATGTTAAGCGTTGGTTAGTTGGTGAAACCACACTGTTAACCTAAATATATCGTATCTTGTCTAATTTCTGATCTAACATATACACAAGTTTTGTAATGACTGATGTCAGTTCAGTGCTCCGAAACTTTAGTCTTAATTTGGTTATACATTTTTGTTTTTCTATTCAGATAACACTAAGCATGCTTCCCACTTTTTATATCTCACGTTAAGGTAATACATTCCCTTTATCGTGTAAACACCTTTTTGAAAGAACGATGCTACCATATCAAGATACAACTGTTACTGTGGTGTATCAATGTATAGAACTGTTACTGT